GTGATGCCATGGCACTCTACCCAGGGGGATAGCTTGAGGCTCCATCTCAAAAAAAAAAAAAAAAAAAAAATCTAACCTACCCCATGATTGCATTAATGTACACAGCTATGATTTAATACAAAAAAAAAATAATAATCTACCCTAACCCTTTCAATATACAGATGAGAAAATAAAGAACATTAAGTTAAATGAGTTGGGCAAAGTCTCACAAAGAATAACTTTGCTTCATTAGTAAATGTATTTCTTCCATAATTAGAAGTGCATCTTTTAGGATTACAATTTTTTTTTTTCAGACAAGACTCTCAAGCTGTCACCCTGGGTAGAGTGCCTGGCGACACAGCTCACAGCAACCTCAAACTCTTGGGCCTAACTGATTCTCTACATCAGCCTCTCAAGTAGCTGGAACTACAGGAGCTCGCCACAATGCCCTGCTATTTTTTGGTTGTAGTTGTCGTCGTTGTTTGGCAGGCCTGGGCTGGATTTGAACCTGCCAGCTCCAGTGTACCTGGCTGGCACCCTAGCTGCTGAGCTACAGGTGCCAAGCCACATACACCGGAGCTGGTGGGTTCGAACCTAGCCCACAGCTGCCAAACAACAATGACAACTACAACCAAAAAATAGGCCAGCATTGTGGTGGGCGCCTATAGTCCCAGCTACTTGGGAGACTGAGGTACAAGAATCGTTTAAGCCCAGGAGTTTGAGGTTGCTGTGAGCTGTGAAGCCACAGTACTCTACCAAGGGTGACATAGTGAGACTCTGTCGCAAAAAAAAGCTGAACTCAAAAAGTAAAAACTGCACAAAATCAGCCTATGTGTTTATTAAACTGAAAGCTTCCTGAGAGCAGGGTTTTCCCCCATATCGAGTTATATATTAAGTACACACTACCCAACACTACCCAAGATCTGAACATCTTGGCAGTCTGAGAAAAAAATAATTCAGATCACTTGTTACTCTAGAAGTTATCCTACCTAGTGCTATAGTTCTTAAAAGTGCTGTTTTCCTCACTGTTTATATAATGAAGAAATAGACCACAGTAAGTACATTAATGATTTAAAGACATATTGATATTAAAAACAACATTTGTGCCAGGTGTGGTATCTCTCACCTGTAATCCTAGTATTCTGTGAGGCTAAGGCAGGTGGATAGCTTGAGCTCATGAGTTCGAGACCAGCCTGAGCAAAAGCTAGACCCTATCTCTACTAATAACAGAGAAAATGAGGCCAGAGGATGGCCTGAGCCCAGGACTTGGAGACTGCTGTGAGCTACGATGCCACAGCACTCTACCCAGGGCAACAGCTTGAGATGCAGTCTCAAAAATAATATAAAATAGGCTCGGAACCTATAGCTCAGCAGCTGGGGTGCCAGCCATATAGACCAGAGCTGGTGGGTTCAAAGCCAGCCTGGGCCTGCCAAACAACGACAACTACAACCAAAAAAAAAACTGCTGGGCCTTGTGGCAGTGCCTATACTCCCAGTACTTGGGAGGCTGAGGCAAGAGAATCACTTAAGCTCTTGTGGTTTCTGTGATGCCACAGAACTCTACCCAGGGTGACAGCTTGAGACTCTGTCTCAAAATAAATAAATAAATAAAAATAATAAACACAATATTCGTCCTAAAGACAAACATTATAGTACAAAGTCACAATACATTTTTCAGAAAGACTTGTATTTGGGATAAAAGAATATTTTACCTTAAAATTAACTCATCTCGTGCCATAACTTTGAAGTCTGTCTCACTCAGTCGAACCTATAATGAGAAGTACAACATAAACTCAGTGCTCTTCCTGAAGACATACATAGAAAGTTTCTCCCTAAAGCTCTATACTGAGTCCCATACACATCTCTACAGCATAAGATTGACCTGGCTCAGTATGTATTATTGTTTTTTTCCTTTTTAAAATCTTACTGTAAAGAAGTTTAATAAACAAGGTGAACTAGGCGGTGCCTGTGGCTCAGTGAGTAGGGCGCCAGCCCCATATATTGAGGGTGGTGGGTTCAAACCAAGCCCTGGCCAAACTGCAAGAAAAAAAATAGCCAGGCATTGTGGCAGGCACCTGTAGTCCCAGCTACTTGGGAGGCTGAGGCAAGAGAATCGCCTAAGCCCAGGAGTTGGAGGTTGC